ACCCCTTGACAAGATCATGAGGCATTAAAGGGGTATGGAAACAAAAATTGAAATATTCAAATTTCGTACGGAAATGAGTTAAGCATGACGGAAAATAACCGTATATGATAATCGCACGTTTGTATTTTGAACGACTGGCTATATTTGTCGTTCCAAACGGTGCACTCGAGCAAGTGCTCGAAAAGAAGCGAACGGAGAGCGCGATGCGTCATGGGATATCCGACGCAAACAAAAACAGAAAGAAGAGATTTCCCACATTCGTGGAGTAGCAAGGCAGGCGTGGTTATGAGCTTTGCCCTTGGTGGCGTCAGCGTTGTGGTGGTGTCAACAGCATCAGCGCGTTACAACCAAGTCGTTCGAAGTACCCGTGGGGTGACTAGCATGTGGCTGGCCCAAGGAGCACGTAACTTAATTCCACAACACTGTCAGCTTAGGGCTCAATGGGGTGGGGAAAGCAACTTTTGTCCGAGTTTTGAGTGACGGGCTAATCTTCTAGGGGGAGAGTGGCTGTGTCCGGTTGCACGAATGAGGGTCCGAGAAAGAAGGGAGACCTTCCTTTCCATCTTCTTGGACCGTTTGGTACAATGCGCGACTTGTGAGTTGAGGAGGAAAGCTAAGAGGGAAGATGTTGAAATGCCAAAGAGCGGCGCTGCTTTGAAGGAATCTGCTACGTCACGACTACATAGCAGATTCCACAACGTTGCTAGACTACCTCCCAAATGGGTTCTGCAGCATCCACCAGGTGCACATTGAAAGATTGTTTATTTCAGGGTGTCGAACCGGAACCGAACTGGTATTTTTTCCGGAACTGAACCCGAACCCGATTCGGAACTGAACCGGAAAAAAAATAACGGTTACCGGTTCATGTCAAAACGGTTAGGCCACGCGCTGTTGACAATGAATGTGCTATCAATACCATTTGTTTTTTAAGTGCCGTCAACTGACACACACCTCGCTTACATATTTTTCTTCTCCACTCAGTCTTAGGAATATGAACGCTGCATTTATGAATCTTGACATAGGAACCAGTATTGCGCTGGTCGCGGCTTGCACGGAAAAGAGAATTGGAAGGCTGTGCAAAAAAAAAAAATAAATAATCGCGTCACGGGATTTCATTTTCCTACAATCTCGTAAAGCCTAAATGCTGCTGTGTGCTCATTTCCTAACACGTTTCTAGAACGCGGGAGTTCTTGAAGCTTGCTTCCATCGGAATGAGAAAAGAAAATGCTGTGGAGTTTGATAATAATGCATCCGGTTTCGTATAGGCACTTAGAAGCTAACATATATGTGAGACAGCAAACTCTTCTATTATAATATTTATCCTATTACGTCCTTCTGGTGTTGCGTCCGGTGAAGTGTTCTTCATATTCCGTATCTTGTTTAATGAAAACTTCTTTAAGGATCTAATTTGAGTTACCGAAGGCTAGTTCAAATAAAGAAAGCTGTATTTTCTCCTCACTGTTCCTTCAATTGCTTACACGCCGAGGTGGCGGGATAGTTAGCGAGTTCTACTTGTAAGTGGGTTTGTAAGGAGGTCGCGGATTTTACAGCTACTGCGTCGGACACAATTAGATGAAGTCCGAATGCGTAAACGTCGGTGTGGCAACCTTTGAGTGCACATAAAGAAACCATTCCTGGTAGAAATCCCTGAGCCTTACACTACGATGTATCCCGTTTCGTATGTGCTGATTTCAGATGCTTTATTTGTAATTTATTTTGATGTTGCAATTTGTCATTTAGAATTTCCGAACCGGTTCGCGGATCGAAATAATCGAACTGGAACTGAACCGGAACAAAATTAATTTACCTGAACCTGAACCGTAACCGAACCCGTATTTTTTTCGGTTCGACACACTGGTTTATTTAGCTTTAAAATTAGTTTTCTTGTGCCTTTCCACGGAAGACTAGTGTTTTTGAGGTTAGGGTGCAACATGCAACACATTCAAGCTAGAAAATGAGCGCTGGAATTTTGTTTCCCTACCCCTTTAAGGTGCTTTTGTCATCATGCTGTACTTTTGTCCAATGCTGCGGCATGCGCGGTCAGCCTTTATTTCAAAGTTTCATTTCCTCTCACAACTTTTAAATAGAATGAACACAAAGGAGGTTAGAAACGGCGTCAAAAATACAAATAAACTGGCTAATATACTCTGTTTCAGTGTAACTTGACAAAGAATGAAGGCTGCTTCCCAGACGAGCCTATTTGATCGTTAAAGGGATACTTCAACGAAATTTGAAATATTCCCGTCGTGTTCAAAAATAGGTTGAATATGATCCACAATATCCGTAAATGACAATCGCACATTTGTATTTTGAGCCTGGTGGCTGTATTTTTCGTTATAAACGGCCCACTCTGGCAAGCGCTCGGAGAAGGCCCAGCGGAGACCACGTGACATCCAACGCAATCGTGACGTAGGTCGTCTCAAGACGAGCAAAGCTACGGCGAAGCTGACGTCGAGAGGATGGCCTAGTCGTTCCAGCAACCGAAGCGGCTGCTTTTGTACAAAGTTTGAGTGACGGGTTAATCTTCTATAATCTTGTAGGGGGACAATAGCGACTTCTGCGACACACAAAAGGCATTCTCGGGAAGAGGGGAGTTCCTGCTGCCCCTCTTCTCTCGTCGTGGCCGGAGGCGAGACAACCTCCGTCACTAGCTGCCAAGGTTCCTAGACGGGCATTACAAGCAAGGCGTTAGCGACATCCACCAGGTGCTCTTTGCTAATCGTTTAATTCGTTTTAAAATTCCTTTTTGTGACTTTTTTAACAAGATATTGGTATGTTCCATGTGATACTGCTCCTTTGAACACATATAGACCAAAAAATGAGCGCCGAAATTTCGTTGTAGTATCCCTTTAAGGCGAGCCACTGACATTCGCCGTCACTGAGCATTACCCCTCTGTGAAACAGTGCCCATGCTTCACTCCGTCGCACTGATTGGCTCACGTGGGCCGTAACCTTTGTTGTTCGTCGACTTATGGTGAGATGGAGCAGAGAGTTTGCCCTAGTCTTGTTTAGAAAATCACGCAAAGAAATTTGCGTCGCCAAGTGGCACAGTATGTCCGAGGCATTTCTGTTCTTCTTAGCCCACTTCTGGCCTCTGCCACACCTGGAACTTCCACTTGTTATACCTGCGCATATTCAGGGTGTTCCAGCTATGTCGAACCAAGCTTTCAAAAAAGGAGTGCTTTAAAACCAACTGTCTGTTGTTAGTAGTCACCTTTTCTATAAAGCAGTATTTTTCATTGATTCTAATTAAAGAATTAATGAGAAATTGACCTAACTTTAAAATATTGATAAAAGGGCATAAATGTCAATTGGAAGTGAGGTGTTTGTATCGTAGTGCACCTTGTGTGTGTCTTTTGTCCAGCCCTTACGAAATGACCGTCAAATATGGTACCACGAGACAACGTGCTATTTTTGAACACCCAATTATGGCGCAAAGGTGGGCCGTGAATAAGCATTCTTCGAAGGTTTGAATAAAAAGCAGGCAAAGCATACCATATGTTAAAACACGTCGAGCGGGTGCTCTCTACAACTTGCAAATTTACACCTTTCCTTGATTCACCATTTTAAGGTCTTCTAATTTCTTTTAATGAATTAATTAGGCTAAATAAAAATATTGTGACTCTTTGCCAAGACACCTACTAAGAACATTAGTTCTGTTTGCATAGAGCACTTAGTCATCTTATTAAAAATCTTGGTTCGAGATAACTGGGACACTCTATATAGATCCGGGTTGGGGCCTCACTTTTTCTGGTAAAAACAATGAAGGAAATAACCTAATATTTACCCTCTCGGGCATGACACTATTGTTGTCTCGTGATTTTCCCCGTTTGTTTGTCGGAGCACCCCTTTTTCCAGGATTCCAATTTTGAAGCACTTTCCTACTCGTAACCGTGGCTTCAAGGAAGACAAGTAGAGATATAATAATGTGGACAACAAGGGAGCCCTCATTTTGGTGTAAGTATGCCCAAGCATGCTAAGCATTGCTCAGAGGCATGAATGCCAATGCTACCAGTTTTCTACAAGTTCTCTGTACAGCAGTCCACATAATAAAATGAAAGTGGCATTCTCACTAGGCTGTCAATGGGAACTCTCGGTTGATTTAAGAACATGCTCTTTATCGGTATGTGATATGTCAGTTTGCATGTATGATATCCTCAGGCAGTCTTCCTGCCAGAACAAACTACCCTGCTGACAGATGTGTGCCGTTCCCGTTCGCCTGATTAGTGAAATCCAGGTTAATAGCAGTATCAAAAGTTCCCATTCACAAAGATAAATTAATTAGTACGCTGAAATAAAGAAGTTGCTTCGAGAGTGGATAAACAGTGAAAGGTTGTTTTGAGAAGGGTCCGATCACAAAAGTTTTTTTGAGGGCTGTAAAAATGAGTTTTATTGAGAAGGGATAAAATGATAGTTGTTTCAAGAAGATTCAAAATAAAATAGTTTTTCTGAAATCTGTAAAACTGAGATTGAGAGGGGATAAAATTAGAAAGTTTGTTTTGAGAAGAGTCGAAATGAGAAAAGGAGTTATTTTGAGAAGGTTAAAATGTGAAGGCACATACAAGAACAAAAAGTGTGAATCGGTTAAAATGAGAACCACCCCCACTACCAGGTTATGTTCCATGGTTCTTGCACAGCTTGGAGTGATCTTGTGACGCGAAGCATCATTCTTTTCCCATGCTGGAATTGCAGGAACCAGCAGCCGGGGCCTCGATGGGAACCCTGCAGGCCTGTCTTCGGACAGCGCCTTCCACCGCAACCAGTGGGATATGCTACGTAAGTGTCTTCAAGGGACCTGTGTAGCCCTGAGGCAACACCACCGCACTTCTCACAGCAGGCAGCAGGGGCCATGCAGCATCTTCAGACCAGTGCAGAAGCATTCCTTGGCGGAGCCTCCAGCAGCGGGGTATGTCCCATGGTTCCTGCACAGCTTGGATGGATCTTGTGATGTGGAGCATTATTTTGTTCCCATGCCATGATTGTAGGGAGCAGCAGCCGGGAGCTCGGAAACCCTGCAGGCCTGTCTTGGGACGACGCCCTTTACGGCAACCAGCGGGTTGCGCTACGTAAGTGTCTTCCTTCTAGAGGCCTGCGTAGCCGTGAGGTAACACCACCACATTCTTTACAGCAGGCAGCAGGCACCGTGCAGCAGCTCCAGGCTGGTGCAGAAACATTCCTCGGTGGAGCCTCCAGCAGCGGGGTATGTCCCATGGTTCCTGCACAACTGGGATGGATCTTGTGACGCCGAGCATCATTCTGTTCCCATGCCATGATTGCAGGGAGCAGCAGCCGAGACCTCGGAAACCCTGCAGGCCTGTCTTAGGACGACGCCCTTTACGGCAACCAGCGGGTTGTGCTACGTAAGTGTCTTCAAGAGGCCTGCGTAACCCTGAGGTAACACCACCACACTCTTTACAGCAGGCAGCAGGGGCCATGCAGCATCTCCAGACCGGTGCAGAGCCATCTAGCGATGGAGCCTCCACCAACAAGGTATGTACACCCATGGTGCCTACACAGCTTGAATTGATTTCGTGACGTGAAAAATCATTTGGTTCCCATGCCGTGATTCCAGGAAGCAGCGGCCGGGACCTCAAGGGGAACCCTGCAGGCCTGTCTTCGGACAGCACCCTTCACCACAACCAGCGGGATATGCTACGTAAGTGTCTTCAAGGGACCTGTGTAGCCCTGAAGTAGCACCACCGTGCTCTTTACAGCAGGCAGCAGGGGCGATGCAGCAGCTCCAGACTGGTGCAGAGACATTCCACGGCAGAGCCTCCAGCAGCGGGGTATGTCCCATGGTTCCTGCACAGCTTGGATGGATCTTGTGATGTGGAGCATTATTTTGTTCCCATGCCATGATTGTAGGGAGCAGCAGCCGGGACCTCGGAAACCCTGCAGGCCTGTCTTGGGACGACGCCCTTTACGGCAACCAGCGGGATATGCTATGTAAGTGTCTTCAAGGGACCTGTGTAGCCCTGAGGCAACACCACCGCACTCCTCACAGCAGGCAGCAGGGGCCATGCAGCAGCTCCAAACTGGTGTGGAAACATTCCTCGGCGGAGCCTCCAGCAGCGGGGTATGTTCCATGGTTTCTCCACAGCTTGGATGGATCTTGTGATGCGAAGCATCATTTTTTTCCCATGCCATGATTCCAGGAAGCAGCGGCCGGGACCTCGGGAACCCTGCAGGCCTGTTTTGGGACAATGCCCTTTACAGCAACCAGCGGGTTGTGCTACGTAAGTGTCTTCCAGAGACCTGTCTAGCCCTGAAGTAGCAACACCGCACTCTTTACAGCAGGCAGCAGGGGCCATGCAGCAGCTCCAGACTGGTGCAGAAACATTCCTCGGCGGAGCCTCCAGCAGTGGGGTATGTCCCATGGTTCCTGCACAGCTTGAATAGATCTTGTGATGCGAAGCATTATTCTGTTCCCATGCCATGATTGCAGGAAGCAGCAGCCGGGACCTCGGGAACCCTGCAGGCCTGTCTTTGGACGACGCCCTTTACGGCAATTAGCGGGATGTGCTACGTAAGTGTCTTCAAGGGACCTGCGTAGCCCCGAGGCAACACCACCGCACTCTTTACAGCAGGCAGCAGGGGCCATGCAGCATCTCCAGACCGGTGCGGAGCCATCTAGCGATGGAGCCTCCACCAGCAGGGTATGTCCCATTGTTCTCGCACAGCTGGCATCGATCTTGTGACGCAGAGCATCATTCGGTCCCCATGCCGTGGTTGCAGGAAGCAGCGGCCGGGACCTCAAGGGGAACCCTGCAGGCCTGTCTTGGGACGACGCCCTTTACGGCAACCAGCGGGATGTGCTACGTAAGTGTCTTCAAGGGACCTGCGTAGCCCTGAGGCAACACCACCGCACTCTTTCCAGCAGGCAGCAGGGGCCATGCAGCATCTCCAGACCGGTGCGGAGCCATCTAGCGATGGAGCCTCCACCAGCAGGGTATGTCCCATTGTTCTCGCACAGCTGGCATCGATCTTGTGACACAGAGCATCATTCGGTCCCCATGCCGTGGTTGCAGGAAGCAGCGGCCGGGACCTCAAGGGGAACCCTGCAGGCCTGTCTTGGGACGACGCCCTTTACGGCAACCAGCGGGTTGTGCTACGTAAGTGTCTTCAAGAGACCTGCGTAGCCCTGAGGTAACACCACCGCACTCTTTACAGCAGGCAGCAGGGGCCATGCAGCATCTCCAGACCGGTGCAGAGCCATCTAGCGATGGAGCCTCCACCAGCAGGGTATGTCCCATGGTTCTCGCACAGCTGGCATCGATCTTGTGACACAGAGCATCATTCGGTCCCCATGCCGTGGTTGCAGGAAGCAGCGGCCGGGACCTCAAGGGGAACCCTGCAGGCCTGTCTTCGGACAGCGCCCTTCACCACAACCAGCGGGATATGCTACGTAAGTGTCTTTAGGGGACCTGTCTAGCCCTGAAGTAGCAACACCGCACTCTTTACAGCAGGCAGCAGGGGCCATGCAGCAGCTCCAGGCTGATGCGGAAACATTCCACGGCAGAGCCTCCAGCAGCGGGGTATGTCCCATGGTTCCTGCACAGCTTGAATAGATCTTGTGATGCGAAGCATCGTTCTGTTCCCATGCCATGATTGCAGGAAGCAGCAGCCGGGACCTCGGGAACCCTGCAGGCCTCTTTTGGGACGACGCCCTTTACGGCAACCAGCGGGTTGTGCTACGTAAGTGTCTTCAAGAGACCTGCGTAGCCCTGAGGTAACACCACCGCACTCTTTACAGCAGGCAGCAGGGGCCATGCAGCACCTCCAGACCGGTGCAGAGCCATCTAGCGATGGAGCCTCCACCAGCAGGGTATGTCCCATGGTTCTCGCACAGCTGGCATCGATCTTGTGACACAGAGCATCATTCGGTCCCCATGCCGTGGTTGCAGGAGGCAGCGGCTGGGACCTCAAGGGGAACCCTGCAAGCCTGTCTTGGGACGACGCCCTTCACAGCAACCAGCGGGTTGTGCTACGTAAGTGTCTTCATGAGACCTGCGTAGCTGTGAAATGACACCACCACACTTTTTACAGCAGGCAGCAGAGGCCATGCAGCATCTCCAGACCGGTGCGAAGGCATCTAGCGACGGAGCCTCCACCAGCAGGGTATGTACTCCCATGGTTCCTACGCAGCTTGGATTGATTTTGTGACGTGGAGAATCATTTGGTTCCCATGCCATGATTCCAGGAAGCAGTGGCCGGGACGTCGACAAGGACCCTGCACCCTGTATGTCCATCGCTCATTTCACCTAGACTCACCGAAGATGTAATTCTTCAGATGAGGAGGAGAATTAAGCACCTGGAGAATGAGAACCGCCGCTTGGTGAGGCAGGCTGCTTTGCAGAAGACTAGGGAAGCTACATTCCACACACACTTGCGCAAGATCTTCACTGCGGATCAACTGTTAGCTTTGTCAAGAACTAGCAACAGGGGATCCAAGTGGTCTAACGAGACTGTTAAAAAGTCTTTGCAGATGCGATTTGCCTGTGGCAGCACGGGCTACGACCTGATGCTGGAGGGGGGCTTCCCATTGCCATCGTCCAGAACGCTGAGGCGGAGACTTGAAGGCAAGTTTGTTCTTGGGTTACTCATCTGCCTCAAAGCTCCCTGTTGGTTGTTAGCAGATGTAATATCTTTGTAGTAACTCTACTATTTTGCAGTCTCCACAAACTTTCTGGATGTAATGAAGTGGTGTCGTGGTTTCTTTTTTATTTAGTTCCGTGTGATATAAAGGGGCAGATCAAACATATTGGGTTCGAATGCTTATCTCATTGCACGCATACTAGCACTAGTTTGTCCTCAGTATACTTCCATGTAGCACGATAAACCCAGAACTTTCTGTTGGGAAATGAATTTAAGGTTAAAAGAAAGTCATGTTTTGCATTATTATTTTTTTCTAAGCTCACTGTTGTAACTGTGAAGATGATAGGAGGCATTCACTTGATCGAAAAATGTTTTAAGAAACGAAAACAAAACCACGACATTTCATTGAACGGCACTTCAGCTAATGGTGGCATTCATGTTAGCAATGGCTCTATGGTTTGGTAGGTTAGCTTACTGAACCCTCTGCGGTAAACCCAAGGTCCGGGGGGGCCACACTGACAATGTCCAAGAGCCACAAGCAAAGTTGTTCATGTTTCGAGAGCTGCATCGGGGTGGGAGGGGGAGGGGAGGGGGATAAGAGTTGTATTTAGAGAGAGTTCGCCGTAAGGTAGGATGTATAGGAGGTAAATGATGTGGCGCCATTGATCGAAAGCAGGCTGGGTGTGTTCCAGGTCACCTTCACAAATTCGAATGAGGCCAGCCAGAAGCCGCCAATCATACCCTGGTGGTCACGAGAAACAAAATAAATATGTGCGTCGGAGTAACTTTTGGTGGCTGAAAATATGCTGCACGTGATTTTTCGTTCATGGTCATGCAAAATAGAAACCTAGCAGAATGAATGACATAATCCACATGCCAGGGGCCGAGAGCCGGGAATCTGCCGTCTGAGCGGTCAGACTTTGTCCGAGCAAAACAGGGTTCAAGCGGCACATTCAATTCTTACATCTTTTTCCATGATCATAATTGAAACATTACGTGGACCATATTTTCAACTTTAAAGAGTTACTACATTTAACTCTTATGCGCCTATTAAAACTGTTTCTCGCTACCACCGCTAGGGGTGTTTTTCGGTTTCTGATTGGGTGAGCACGTCAAGCCTCCTTTCTGCGTCTGGCGCACGCCCTGGCTCTGCCCGTTCCTTTTATTGACCAAACTCGCTCTATATATGGTTTGGGGGAGGGCGGGCAGGGCAGGGCGGGGCGGCGGCGTAGGTACATGATGGAAATATTGTTTCTTTCATGTGCTCTTGGCATTATTTTATAAAGCCTTCTTCATCATACTTAAAGTTTGGTTAAAATGTTGAAATTATGTTTCGTAGTGCTTTGATTTCACGCTATAACCAAACGCTTTCATCAAGAGGATATATTAGATGACTCGGCTTAGTAGCTTTTACTGATTGTGTGCATACCCGGAACAGTGACCTCGTTTCTTCATTAGGCTGCTGCATTGCATCATTTGTAAAAGAACAATTTTAATAAGCAAATGTAGGTCGATAAGTCATTTATATCAACGATCTTCCCTCTTCGATTACCTCAACCATCCGCCTATTCGCAGATGATTGTGTTATTTATAGAAAAATCTTAGACCCGACAGACCATAACGTCCTCCAAAATGACCGTTACTATGAAATCAAACAAATCATACAGCCAATATACATTACTCATGCAGCAACTTGAATGTGTTTCACTATACAAATACTTAGGAGTAAACATCTCTGAAACTCTCTCATGGAAACAACAGATCGATAACTTAGTCACCAACTCATTTAAATCTCTAGGTTTCTTAAGGCGCACCCTACACCTGGCCCCCACTTCAACAAAACTGCTAGCATATAAAACAATTATTCTCCCTAAACTAGAATATGCAAGTATCATATGGCATCCGCATCAAAATTATCTTTCTTCCAAATTAGAATCTGTCCAAAGCAAAGCAGCCCGGTTCATATCAAACGACTTTTCGCCTCAAACTAGTGTCTCAGCTTTAAAAATAAATTTGGGTCTGGCTCCATTGTCTACCCGGCACAATATTTACCGCGTATGTTACTTTCATGACTTGTACTACAGCAACTCGTGCTTTAAAAGCACCCATTGTCATTCCACACATTATATTTCTCCTCGAACCGATAATTCCTGTAAGGTGCAGCAATACCAGTCACACACTAATTCCTTCCTGGTTTCACCCTTAATATTATTGATTACTGAATGGAATAACTTGCCAGACGAGATGGTTACTAACACAAATCCCGTTGAATTTAAAACAATGTGCGAGCGCCTGTGGCATGAATAGTACACGTACATGCTTGTTTGTTGTTTTCATAGTCGCTTTCCGTTTTTTCATATCGAAATTGTTGTTTTATATATAGTTACGTCCAGTTCAAAATTGCAGTTGTGTACGTACGATGTGACTTCCTTTTTGTAAACTGTGCTGGGCTGATTGCAATGATTTTGTTATAACAATGACTGTGTTTGAAAATTGTGTGACTATGTTGTTACAAATGCATGTACCACCTACCCCCCTCATGTAATGCGTCCTCAAAGACGCCCTTGAGGTAAATAAATGAAATGAAATGAAAATGTAGGTCAATAAGCAAAGGTTGTAAACAATTTTGGGCAGAACGTTTCACACAAAGCTAATGCTGCCTCATCTTACCATGCGAGGATGTTGCAAAGAAGCTAGAAAATAAAAGCAATAGATTACGGTATGTTCTAGCTGATTTGCCTCCACCTGACCATTACAACTTAATGTAAAATTTATATTGATCTTTATTGGATCAGGAGGCCAATAAAGATGCGTATTGACAACGAAATCGCAACTTCAAACCAGGCTCGTAGCCAGGATTTTGACTCCCTCCCACTCATACAGGACAAAATCCTGTATGAGGGGGAGAGAGGAGAGGAGGCCCCAGCAAAATTGAAGATTGAAGAGGCAACTCCATGGGTCCCTTTCCTGGCTACGTGCCTGCTTCAAACCCAGTATTATTAATGTCATGTTTTCCACCTGTTCCCCACTGTAACATTTTTATAAAGTTTCGTGTTTCAGCCAAACTATTTTAATTTGAGCCCCACGAGAGCCGCACTTCGGCCCACAAAGAGCAGTTTGGTTATTCCTGCCCTAGGTGGTTCACGCTTGAGCTTGATAATCTCATTTCCCCCAAGCGACAGTAAAGGGTGAGTGCATGTAGCATGGTCTGCTGGAAGCCTACTTTGCCGAAGGCTATGAACAGCCTATTTGCTAAAACGTCATTTGCTATATAATATCGCCCCGAAGATAACTCTGGTTACAGTCAGGGGGAGCACCATGTGGTGACGATAGCTAAATGAGACACCTGAGTTTTTGAGGAGAACTGCATGAACAATCGAGCTGGGCTCTTGACAATCGGTGCATTTGGGTAGTGGCTCTTGGCTAACCTCTGCACAAGAATAGCCAATGTTGAAGATTGTTTGGAGCTCACCACATGCTGCATGCTACATGCTTTACCATCCCCAGCCCATGGCTTTGATGAACGGCATATAAGTAATAGCAGATCGCATGGCAACTTGTACTGGCTGCAAGTTAAGTGGGAGAAGGCTGCTTGTTTTAGTCTTTTTTTTTTGCAACTACCATAGTGTGGAGAGAAAAATTGTGTTTTGTAGGTTAAGAGCATCAAGGATTATGTTTATGCAGAATTTATCATCAGCGAAAAAATTGTTGCATGGCATTATCCAGTTCCATTAAAATTACACGCTATGTAGTTTACTTGAAAATTAAAATACCGGAGAGCACAATTGTATATTTCTGGGATTGCTTTAGCTTCTATCTTGGTGTTTCACAGCTACCGTTTGTTTTATTTTAACTTCAAATCAAGGTGGTTGGTTCTTATTATATTGTCACGAATGACAATTGATAAGGCGACGAAAACTGAAACAAACTAAATGTTTCATGGGGCGAACTTGTGCCCAAAACAAATATGAGA